AGGTAGCCCGCGAGCATCATTCCCATCGCGCTCCAACGGTTTGGCTGGTAAATCTGGCCGCAGCCGATGAAGCGCGTCACGTGGTGAGCGACGATGGCGAATGATGCAGCGACGGGGTAGTACGCAGGCGACACCATGCGCGCAAGCAAAACGTTGCCCGCGACGAGCATCGCCGTGTAGCTGAGTCCGGCGACGAACAGCAACTTGATCTGCGTGGCACCGACGCCGACTTACTTTTTCGAGGTTGACCTTGAACGGGTTGATGTAGGAGAACTTCGGGAACTCGCTGCCGAACTCGCCCATCACAAACATGTAGACCGAGCTGAGGACCAGCTGGATCCACGTCGCCGCCACGGGATATGGCACTACGCGGGACAGGAAGTAATGCGGGCCGAGCACATTGAGAATTGCCAGTCCGCAGAAGAACGCTTCGTCCTTCACGATGCGTGGCTCGGACAGAAAGCGCTCTCTGTCTTCTGAAGGCAGTTTCAGCATAAGTGTTTGCCTTTTTTATACAACGGGTGGTGCAAACTTTTACTGAGTGCGAAGCCCTTGGTGCAGTTCAACACGTAACAACGCTTTGTCCTGTGCGCCATCCTCGCCGCGGAGGCCGCAAACTTCTGTAAATTACACTACGCAACTTATTAAATCTGCAAAATCGAGCGCGTCGTCGCGGAGCAGAGAACGGCGGACTTGAGAATCTGCGACTGCGCAATGACTGAGCCTTGGACTCTCGCACTCTACATTATGTGCGTCATGCTGCTGTACGTCGCGCTGCTCTGCCCCTCCGCCGCGCTGGCGCGGCGGTTCCTCGCGCGCGAGGAGCTGCGCTACCGACAGGGTCTGTGTTGCTTCTTCGTTGCGCTTGTCGGTGCTGAGTTGAGCTTGCTGTTTTGGTTTCTGATGCCTACGACGCTGTACTACAACTACCTGTTTGCGTCCGCCGACATCAGCGTTAAGAAAAACCTGTTCTTCTCTCTTGCGTACTTTTATCTCTCCGCGCTGCTGCCATTCGCAGATTTCTACTACAAGAGTGAGACTGACAAGCGCGTGTTCAAGCGGACGCCGCTGCGCCAAGCGCTGCTCAAAACAGCGCTAGTATTTTTTTCGCTCTCACTGCTGGTTTTCGCGCTGTACGTTCCGAATTTGGGCGCGCACTTTACCATCACCGTCAACGGCATCAACAGCGCGCCGGGCTTCAGCTTAATGTTTCCGTTCTTCCTGTCGCTGATCACTTCGGCTGTCGGGTTGCTCTTGGTGGTGCACGTCTTTCCGATGCAGCTCGCGAGAAAACTCGTTTTCAGTTTCAATCGACTGCTATTCCTGCCGCGTCGCATCCCTGCGCGTGACTTGCAAGAGGCGCTCGAGACGATCAGAAACCGCTCTGACTTGCTCGAGAGCGTCGCTGACGGCCTCGAGTCGAAATTCGCGCAACCCGCGCACAGCTCTGCGCTGCGGCGCTTCTCAGCATCGCGTCGGCTCTCCAAGCAAGTTACCTACCTTAAGTTAGGCACGGACTACCTCGAGCGCGACTACCGGCTGTTCAACCTACAGTCTGCGCGAGTCTCGCTCGCGTGCAACCGCGCAAAATACGCAGCCCTTTTTCTCAGCTATCTGCTGCTCGCCTGCTGCTTTCTGACTACCTGCATTGGCTTCATCGTCGACAAGCCGCAGTACGTCCTGACCTCTCACGTACTTCGGTTCCATGGCAGCGGCTCGCAATTTGCGCTCTACGCCGTCATGCTCTTCATGAGCTTCCTCGACTGCTACTTGGTGCTGGACGGCATTTCCAGCGCGTCGCGCTTTGTCTTTCTCCGTCAGTTCTTCGAGCCATTGCAGCGAAACAACTCGCGGGCGAACGTCGTGGTGTTTTACAGCGCTGTGGCTGTCTCCGTCTCCTGCGCCAGCGTGATCCACATGGCGCGCTACTTCCACGGACTGCCCTTCTATCTCGACGCCGACTCGCAACTGTTCGACCATTTGGCCATAGTTTCAGCGTTAAAATACTTGACGCCGAGCAAAGGCTGCTGCGTCTACCAAATG